AGGCCTTCACCCCCCTATTGTCTGTGTCCATGGGTGACGCATCTATACACACAAGGTCTTCGGTTGAACTATTCCCATCCACCCACCCTCCCCTTGCCTTCCCTCTGAGATTCCGGAGTCTGTTCGATGCTTCTATGTCTCTGGACCTATTTTGTTCATCAGTTTATTTGGTTCCGTAGCTTCCAAATATGAGTGAGATCATGGGGTACGTGTCTCTCTCTGACCAGCTTATTTCGCCCAGCATCCTGCCCTCCAGGTCCCTCCGCGCCGTCTCAAAGGGTAAGAGACCCTCCTTTTTCAGGGCTGCGTAGTATTCCACGGTTTAGATCAAGCACATCCAACTCGCGGCCCACCAGCCAACAACGACGAATATTTCCGCGGCCCGGCCAATAGAATGGTACGTAAGGAGCGTTGCAGTAACAATTTCGTCACTTAATTTTTACGCTATCCTGTTAGACATAATTATTCATCACCAACTACGACGTTCGCCGATGACGGATGACTCTCATCGTGTGGCATTCATTTCCCTCAAGCGCAGGGGCACCATCTCTCCCCACAAATACCAGCAGCGAACGTTCCAGCAGCCGATGGCCGCGTCCTTGGTCTCGGACTGACTCGCTTGGCGAGCGCAATGGGAAATATCTCGCTTCCGGGGAACAAGAAAAACGGGTTTACTGGCCTGATGCTCATTCATTGGTGCCGTTAATCAGAGTCTGGTAGGTTCATGTTCGGGAAGACACATTAATATTTTATTAAAATGCTCTATTGTTTTATGTTCGCGACGACTCATTGATTTCAGCCCTTTGTACTCAGCACGTCTCTATCGGAATAAACCTATGTTTCCAGGAAAATGGAAGCTTTTGGGGATTTTTTTTTTTTTTGCGGCCCGCGTGCACATAAACTTAAACCTTGTTTATCTGGCCCGTGTGCGCCTTTGAGTTTGAAACCAGGGCTTTTTTTTATCCACTCGACTGTAGGAGGGGCCCTTGGGCTCACCCCCTACATCTCCCCCTTTTTTTAAAAAAATAAAGGGTGTCCCTTCACATTTGTAATATCTTATTCAATAAAGGAAAAACAAATAAGATAAAATAAAGGGTGTCCCAAAATTCACGCAAGAAGTAATTTTGATAGAAAACACAGGTTTATAATTAAAAATCGTAATTTTTTATTGATTCTTACGGTATACAGTATAGGGTTATGTGTGGAATAGCATGTCGGGTAAATGGGTCATCATGCCATAGCGAGCACCTTGAACAGTTATTGTCTGAGCAGCCGCATATCGGTCGTGGAAAATTTCAGCAAAAGACCAATGAAGACCACGGCTTTGTGTATGTTCCAGCAAAGCCGTGGAGGCCATTGACCCGATGTGCTATTCCATTCATAACCCTAGACTGTATGCTTTCTGAATCAATAAAAATTTACAATTTTTAATGATAAACCTGTGTTGTCTATCAGAATTACTTCTTGCGTGAATTTTGGGACATGCTTTATATATTTATGTATTGAGCGTCTGCCCCCTGGTGGTCAGTGTATGTCATAGCTACCGGCCGGAGCGTCTGCCCCCTGGTGGTCAGTGCACATCATAGCTACCGGTCAGAGCGTCTGCCCCCTGGTGGTCAGTGCACATCATAGCTACCGGTCAGAGCGTCTGCCCCCTGGTGGTCAGTGCACATCATAGCTACCGGTCAGAGCGTCTGCCCCCTGGTGGTCAGTGCACATCATAGCTACCGGTCAGAGCGTCTGCCCCCTGGTGGTCAGTGCACATCATAGCTACCGGTCAGAGCGTCTGCCCCCTGGTGGTCAGTGCACATCATAGCTACCGGTCAGAGCGTCTGCCCCCTGGTGGTCAGTGCACATCATAGCTACCGGTCAGAGCGTCTGCCCCCTGGTGGTCAGTGCACATCATAGCTACCGGTCAGAGCGTCTGCCCCCTGGTGGTCAGTGCAAATCATAGCTACCGGTCAGAGCGTCTGCGGATCCATGATTCTCTGTCATATTTCTATGTCTCCCTCCCTCTCTCCCTTCCTCTCTCCCTAAAAATCAGTACAGACGCCTCCTTCCTACAATCTCTCTAATCCCTCTAATGCCAGGTTCTCACCCAAAATCGAAATGGCTAACGGGTCCTCTTGGTCACTGATTAGCTCGCCGTCCAGGGCAAAGGTCAAAGGCGCCTCCTCCAAAATTGACAACCAGGCCAGGCCAACGGCAATGAGGTCAAAAGGGACCAGGCAGGAGGCCGCTGGCAGCCCGGCCGCCCGCCCAGCAACCGGAAGAGACGGTCCCCGTCCATTTTCTAAAATTACGTCCATCGGCCCTAACCAGTGTGTCTCAGTGGTTGAGCATTGACCTATGAACCAGGAGATCGCGGTTCGATTCCCAGTCAGGGCACATGCCCGGGTTTCGGACTTGATCCCTAGTAGGGGGCTTACAGGAGGCAGCCTGTCCATGATTCTCTCTCATCATGGATGTTTCTGTCTCTCTCTCCCTTCCTCTCTGACATCAATAAAAATATATATTTCTAAAAATTATGTCTATCGAGCCGCCGACATTGATCTTGATATAAAATGACCGATTTCTGGCCCGCGAATAAGGATTCCCCGGCCAGACTCAGGGTTGATCTTTTAACAATGTTTTCTTTTAAATTTCTTTTTTTTAATGTGGCTGCTTTTTAAAAAATATATTTGTATTGGTTTCAGAGAGGAAGGGAGAGGGAGAGGGAGAGAGAGAAACATCCACGAGGAGAGAGAATCATGGACCGGCTGCCTCCTGCACGCCCCCTACTGGGGATCGAGCCTGCAACCCGGGCACGTGCCCTTGACCGGGATTCGAACCCGGGACCTCCTGGTTCATAGGTCGACTCCCAACCACTGAGCCACACCGGCCAGACTCACAGACTTAATATCCCATTGTCCTCGGATGGAAGGGGAGGGTGGGGCGGGTGCAGGGGTTGGAGGGAGATAAAAAAATAAAAATAAAAGCTATAGATTCTTTTCTAAAAGGAAAAAAAAAATCTCATTTCATCCTCAAGGTAATTCAGGCTTTTAAGTTAGATTTTGGCAAATTTAAGGATTTCTTGCCCTGAGTGGAGGTCTGGAGGGGGAAAATCATTTTAAAATATTTACTTCAGCCCTGACCGGTGTGGCTCAGTGGATAGAGCGTCGGCCTGCAGACTGAAGGGTCCCGGGTTCGATTCCCGGCCAAGGGCACGTACCTTGGTTGCAGGCACATCCCCAGTGGGGGGCGTGCAGGAAGCAGCTGATCGATGTTTCTCTCTCATCGATGTTTCTAACTCTCTATCCCTCTCCCTTCCTCTCTGTAAAAAAATCAATAACATATATTTTTTTTTAAAAGAAAGAAAACAAAATATTTACTTCTGTGCAGAGCGGCCGGACACACCCACGCTTCTATGGGGAAAGAGAGGGGATTGGAAAGTATTTGCACAATAATACAGGCTATTGGCCATGCGTCGGCCACTGCCAAGGGTAAGTCCCAGGCAGTTC